TGGGAACTAAGGAGGACATTGTGATGAGCACTGGGTGTTATATGCAAGGGAGGAATTGATAAGTTCTATTCATGAAATCAATATTACACTATATATTAAATAAGTTGAATTTAAATAAAAACCTGAAACAAGAACAAAAGCAAAAACAAGACCTATAAATATGCTGCAAGTAAGAGGCTCAATTTAGATGTAAAGACATATGCAGATTGAAAATAAAGAGAAGAAATATTTATCATGTAAGTGGAAGTAAAAGAAAGATTGAGTAAAAATACTTATATGAGACAAACTAAATTTTAAACCAAAGACAGTAATAGGAGTTGAAGAAGAGCATGATACCATACAAAAGGGACAATTCAACAAGAAGATCTAACAAATGTAAATATGCACCCAACATGGAATAATCTAAAATAAAACAATTAATAACAAACAAAGGAACTCCTTGATAATCATACACTAATAATAGGGTCCTTGATACACCACTTAGATCAATACAGATTCCTAAGTAGAAAATCAACAATGAAACAAAGTCTTTTAGTGACACACTGGGCCAGATGTATTTAAAATATATATTCAGAACATTCTACCTTAAAGCAACAGAATACATAATCTTTTCAAGTGCACATGGATATTCTCCAGAAGAGATCTTATACAAGGTCACAAATCAGGACTCAAAAAGTACAAAAAGATAGATATCATAGCATGCATATATTCTGACTGCAGCACTATGGAACAGGAAATCAGTCATGAAAAAAAAAAAAAAAAGGAAAGACCTCAAATGCATAGAGGTATTGTACATAAACAATGAATCTTGGAACACTGCATCAAAAACTAATGATATATTTTATAGTGATAAACACAACACAATAACAAATTTTTAAAAAGATAGAAGCCTACCTCATGAAAAAAGAGAAATCCCAAAAAAACAACCTAATATTAGACATAAAAGGCCTGGGGCGGGGAGTAGGCGATAGGAGAGACTGTTTTGGGGTATTAAGGAGGGCACAGATTGCATGGAACACAGGGTTTTATACACAAACAATGAATCATGGAACACTACATAAAAAAAACTAATGAAGTACAGTTGGGAGAGTAACATAACATAAAGAAAGGCTTATGGGAAAATAAAAACAAAGTGTAAAGCCAGCAGAAAATGAGAAATAACAATTACAGCAGAATTAAGTTATATTGAAACTAAAAACACAAAGTAGAACAGATTAATGAAACCAAGAGCTGTTTCATTAAAAAATAAACAATATATAAATGCCTAGCAAGAATTTTCAGAAAGAATAAAGGACCCAAACAACAAAATCATGAATTAGAAAGGAAAAATGACAATTAAAACTACAGAAATATAAAGAACTACTAGCCATTTGTATGTTTTCTTTGTAGAAGTGTCTGTTCATGTCTTCTGCCCATTTTTTGAGGTCATTATCTGTTTTTTTGTGTGTGTGTTGTTTGAGGAGTTCTTTATAGATCTTGGATATCAGCCCTTTGTACTGTCATTTGCGAATATCTTCTCCCATTCAGTGGGTTGCTTCTTTGTGTTTTTTTTTTTTAAGATTTTATTTATTTATTTGACAGACAGAGATCACAAGTAGGCAGAGAAGCCAGTAGTTAGAGAGGAGGAAGCAAGCTCTCCACGGAGCAGAGAACCCGATGTGGGGCTCAATCCCAGGACCCTGGGATCATGACCTGAACCGAAGGCAGTGGCTTTAAGGCACTGAGCCCCATCCCTCTTTGTTTTGTTGAATGTTTCCTTTGTTGTGCAGAAGTTTTTTTATCTTGATGAAGTCCCAAATTTCATTTTCACTTTTGTTTCCTTTGCCTTTGGAGATGCATTAAAAAAAAGAAAAAAATGTTCATCATCGTTAGCCATCAGGGAAATTCAAATCAAAACCACATTCAGATACCACCTTACACCAGTTAGAATGGCCAAAATTAACAAGACAAGAAACAACAACTGTTGGAGAGGATGTGAGAAAGTGGAACCCTCTTACACTGTTCATGGGAATGCAATGTCCATTAAAGGATGAATGGATAAAGAAGATATATACTATATATGTACTCTTAAATATAAAAATATATATTTAAATTAAAAACAAAGGAAAATAGAGGTAAAGAGAGAGAGGGAGGGAGAGAGAGAGAGAGAGAGAGAGAAAGGCAAACCAAGGAAGAGATTCTTTACTATAGATAATATACTGGTGGTTACCAGAGGGGAGATTAGTATAATATGGGTTAAATAGGTGATGGAGATTAAGGAGTACCCTTTTGATTAGCACTGGGTGCTATACATACCTTTTTAAAATAACTAAATTGTACAACTGCAACTAATTTAGTGATTCATCACTTAACATACATACAACACCCGGGGATCGCCACTGCAATTGCCCTCCTTAATACCATCACTTATTTAACCCATTCCCCTGCACATCTGCCCACTGTTAAACCCTCAGTTTATTTTCTATAGTTGACTGTCTTTCCTGATTTCCCTCTCTTTTTTTAAAATATGGTCATCTGTTTTGTTTCTTAAATTCCATGTATGAGTGAACTCATGTGATATTTGTCTATATCTGACTTTTCATTTAGCATAATATTCTCTAACTCTGTCTACATTGTTGCAAATGGCAAAATTTCATTCTTTTTCATGAGTAATATTCCACTGCATACTTGTATATATGTGCATACACCATCTTTTTTTAACATTCATCAGCCAATGGACATTTGGGTTTTCCATAGCATGATATTGGGATACTTTACCATTTCATTCTGTCCTCCTCAATTTCTTTCAGCAGTATTTTATAGTTTTCACAATACAGATCTTTTGCCTCTTTGATTGGGTTTAGTTCTAGGTTCTTATGGTTTTTGGTGCAATTGTAAATGGGACTGATTCCTTGATTTATATCTCTGCTGCTTCATTATCAGTGTATAGAAAAGCAACAGATTTCTGTATACTGATTTTGTATCCTGCGAATTTACTGCATTTGTGTATCAGTTCTAGAGATTTTTTGGTTGTGTCTTTCAGGTTTTCTATATAGAGTATCATGTTATCTGCAAACAGTGCAAGTTTGACTTTTTTCTTATTAATTTGGATGATATTATTTCTTTCTGTTGTCTGATTGCTGTGCTGGGACTGCCAACAATATATTAAATGACAGTCGTGAGACTGGAATGACTGTATTTTTCCTGAACCTAGAGGATAATCTCTCAGATTTTCCCCACTGAGGATTTAATAGCTGTGAGGTTTTTCATATATGGTCCTTATTATGTTCAGGTTTGTTTCATTTATCCCTAATTTGTTGAGGGATTTTTATAATGAATTGATGTTGTACTTTTTCATTCTTTTCTGCATCTATTGAAAGGATCATAGGTTTTTTATCCTTTCTTTTACTAATGTGGTGTATCATATCCTCTGATTTGTGAATATGGAACAACACTTGCAGCCCAGGAATAAATCCTACTTGATCATGGGGAATGATTCTTTTAATATACTGCTGGAATTGTTAGTATTTTGTTGAGGATTTTTGCAACCATGTCCATCAAGGATATTGTCCTGTACTCCTCTTTATTAATGGGGCCTTTGTCTCATTTAGGAATCAGGGTACTGCTGGCCTCATCAAATGAATTTGGAAGTTTCCCTTCCATTTCTATTTTTTTTTTAATAGTTTGAGAAGAATAGCTATTAACTTCTTTAAATATTTGGTAGAATTCCCCTGTGAGGCCCTCTGGCCCTGGATTTTGTTTGTTGAGAGATTTTAGTTTCTTACTGATTCAATGTCTTTGCTGGTATTTGCCCAATCACTTTCTCTGTTTCTTCCCTTTTCAGTTGTGTTAGTGGATATGTTTCTAGGAATTTATCCATTTTTTTCCAGATTGTCTGATTTTTTGGCATATAATTTTTCAAAATATTCTCCTGCAATTGTTTGTTGGTTGTTACTTCTCCTCTTCCATTTTTGTTTGTTTGTTTGTTTGTTTTTTGGGGGGGTATTTTTTCTTTTCGTTTTGGAAATTCTGACTAAGGGTTTATCAATTTTTTTTTTTTTTTCGCTGAAGCTTGTCTTAATATTACTTTAAGCCTGCTATAGTTAAGGGATGTCTTACTGGCTTTCTTCTCCCCAATAAACAGACTCTTAACTATAGAGAATAAACTTATGGTTACTATAGGGGAGGTGGATGGAGGAATGGGTTAAATTGGGATAGGAATTAAGGAGGGCACTTATAATAAGCACAGTTTATTGTATATAAGTGTTGAGTCACTAAATTCTACACATGAAACTAATATTACACTGTATATTAAGTAACTGTAATTTAAATAAAGACTTGAAAAATATTACTATAAGAATATGTATCTCTCTACAGTGAAGTTACTTTTTTATATCTTTGTCTTACACTAGATTTCAAGGACACAAGTGATGTCAGAAAATGCCATATAATAGGCTTGAGTTAGAAGAGGGGAAGACAGATGGACAACAAAGTCCTTTTTTTTCCTTCTTTTTCCTTGTGAGATGAAATCAACATAACTTAAAATTAAACACTAAACATGTACAATTTAGTGGCATTTAATGCATCCACAATGCTATACAGGTATCACCTACCTTTGTCTATTTTCTTTCATTTGAGAATGCATTATACATATTTTTTTTTCATGTGACATTTTGCATATTGATTTTCCTAAGATTTACCATACAATTTGTTTTTTCTGGGAGAGCAAAACTTATCTCTCATGTCCCTACATGCTTGTCACAGGAAAAGGAATGCCCATTAGTATGACAGATATAAAAGCATGCATCTTTCCAACCCCAAGAAGAACCATTCTGCTTTTGCTATCCACTTGGTCTGGACAAGGAGAATGTTTCTTAGTATCACTTTAATGAATACAATGAGATTTTTTAAATGATAATTTGTACTCTACAGATCCAATGTTATTACCAGACTATGCAATGGATTGTTTGTATGATTATGTCAGCGAATGCATAAATCATGATGCCTGTGATATTAACTCTTTATATTGATAAATTGTATTTGTCCATTATCAATTTCCTTAGTGCCATTTTCATATATTTATTTCTCAGACTGTAAATCAGGGGGTTCATGGTGGGTGGCACTACAGTATAGAATACAGAAACTAGCAAGTCTAAAAGTGATGGATATTTGGGCAAGGGATGTAAATAGGCAAAAAATCCAGAAGAGAGAAACAGAGTCACAACAAGGAGGAGAGGCAGGCATGTGGACATGGCTTTGTGGCATCCTTCTCTGGAAGGCATTCTCAGCACAGTGGAAAATATATAAATGTAAGAAATATCAATAAACACAAAACAGCCAAAATCTAACACTAGACTGAGTCCAATGACTACTAATTCCCCAATGTTATATGAACAGGCAAGGGAGAGCAGTTGTGGGAAATCACAGAAGAACTGATGAATTTCAGGAAGCCCACACATGGGTATGGAAAAGGTAGAAGCTGTATGAAGAATTGCATTGAGACCTCCACTGACCCATGAAGTGGTGGCCATCTGCATACAGGCTCTGTGGCCCATGATGATGTCATATCTGAGAGGATGGCAGACAGCAACATAGCGATCATAGGACATGACTGTGAGTAGTGCTACTTCTGTACTGGCTAAGAGAAAGAAAAAAAAACACCTGTGAAACACATCCAAGTAATGAAATTGTGTTGTGATTCATTAGAGAGTTCATGATGGATTTGGGGACAGTGATGGAAATGAGGCAGAGATCCAGAAAGGGCAAGTTCTTTAAGAAGAAGTACATAGGGGTGTAGAGTTGATGATCCTTGGTGGTAAGGGTGATAATTAGAAGATTCACAAGTAGAGATACCAGGTAAATTAGCAAAAATAGCACTGCATGTAAGACCTGGATTTCCCTAACATCGGAGAAGCCCATGAGGAAAAATATGCTCCCAGAAGTGAAGTTGTCCATTTCTCTGTATGTTTAATCAATTACTCTAAAAAATAAATCAGGGGAGAAGACAAATCATGAGAGATTGTGGACTCCAAGAAAACAAAACAAAACAACAACAACAACAACAACAAAATGGAAGGCTTTGGAAGGGAGGGGGTGGGGGTCTGGGTGAGGCTGGTGGTGGGTATTAAGGAGGGCATGTATTGCATGGAGCACTGGGTGTGGTGTATAAATAATAAATCTTGGAACACTTAAAAATAAAATTAAATTAAACAAAATAAAGTAGGCAACTTAAGACTCAGATGAGGATAATTTAGTATTGTATTTTCTTAATTTCCCTTTCTCTTACTGTCATATGCATCTATCAAAATATTTAATATCGCATGAGACTGCCACCAGAAAGCTTCCATCGACATCAGGGAACCACAGTTGATCACACCACAGTGTGACTGAACGGAGTGTCAGTCCATTCCAAATCATCTACTTCATCCACCTATCCAGATCAAGAACTACACTCTGCATCTCACTAAGATGGAATTTTTCATAAAGTATATTGTGACAGGTAATGAGGAAAGCCATAGAATGTGAGCAATCAATCCCAAATATAAATGTCATCTTACTCAGTTACTAGCTTTTTGATTTTTAATTAATTATCTGAGTATTATTTATTTGATGTACAGAATTAACTTTCTTATCTTATTGAACTGAATGATGTGTATAAAAATACCCAGCCAAGGTTCCTGTGTAACTCAGTCAGTTAAGTGTCTGACATGTGATTTCAGCTCAGTTCTTTGTCTCAGAGTCATTGTTTCAAGCCCTGCATTGGGCTCCACAAAAACAAAATAAAACAAAAAAGCCAACAAACAAATGAAGAAACACCTAGCCTAATTCATTAACAAGGTCTTTAACAAACACCATTTCTTCTATTTATCCAATCTTCCTTCATTACACCTGAGTCAAGAATTTTAAGAAATTGTCAAATGATAATTTTTCTTTATATTTTAAACTCCTTCCTTCCTTCCTTCCTTCCTTCCTTCTTTCTTTCCGTCTTTTTTTCTTTCTTTCCTTCCTTCCTTCTCTTTGCATTGGATCATCATTGCATTGTATTATCTTTGAGCTGTTTTGCAATCCTTGAATCATAAATTTTAATAATATAAATTATTCTTGTTCACAAAATACTAATCAGTTACATTTCTAAGGAATGTTATTGACTATTGCTCTGTACTCAGACCCATTTTGTATTTATTTGTAAATTAATTTCAGCATTCTTTATCTGTCCTCATATTTATGATATCTGTAATTCTTCTTCTGAACTGCATGCAATATCTTGCCAGTTCCCTCATTCACTAATAAAATCTTTTACTGGTGTTTGTTTTATTTTTGTATAAGTCATGAACTTATCCATTTTTAAAACTTTCCCTGTAGCACCTGGCATGGATAACAGCTGCTCAAGTTAAAACTCAAATGTTATGAAAAGACGTAAATCTTGTTAAAAACTTTAGGTAGTTATCAGGAACACAAATAATCCTTTTGTTCCATTTTCTTGATTATAAATGATGTATGCATAAAATTGAACTATTTGAATTGTGCAGCAAAATATTCACTTATGTTTTATATGTGTTAGAAGTTTTTATCTTCTTAGCAGATTCTCCAACATTTTTGCTTTTGCCTTTCAGGAATTGTTACATTGAATAATATTTGTAGCCACATGTGCCATTTAATTATGCAGGGCAACAAACTCACCTTCTGATTTAAACCTGATTGGCCAGATTTCCATTTCTTTTTACATTTTCCTCATTGTCTCCATTCTCTATTGGTTACCCCATCATCTACATATCTGATAACTGTAAATGCTCCTGTGATTTTCCATCAAGCTCATCTATCCTTTACCTCTTTGCTGAGAAGAGAAGGGGTTCTCTCCTTCAGAAAGTTGTACTGCAGTCATAAAGTGGAAATGCTAGATGTCCTTTAGTATGACACATTTAATTTACATATTTATTAGTGACATCCAGAGGAGATATCCTATGCAAGATTCCATATGAGGCCATGTTAAGTAGATCCTGAATTTCATCTTGTATTTTAAATGCCTAATCTAATAACCATAATTCATTGAATGCAAAAATGTGTTTCCTAAACTGTATTACTGATTTCAAGCAAAACTTTTTCTTATTCTTGATAAAACTTCCACCCCAGGGATTTGCTCTCTAGTTTTCCCTGACTCCTGAAGTTTAAAATTCCATTATTCAGATAAACATACAAAAATTCAGCAAAAATGCTTGCGTTGATTTTTTGTAAATATATATGCTCTGTGAAAAAAATACTGTAAACTCATATTCTGCTAAAATCATTATATGTAATCACAATATGATGAAAATACAATGCAGTTCACTGTATGTCATGGAACATATTAAAACACTGAAAAATGTGTAGAATTCAGCTTTTAAAAGCAATTACATCTAGGATAGTGTCTTGCATATTTTTCAATTGGAAAAGTATTTTCTCCTAGAATTGTTTGGTAGGAAAATATTATTTTCTTTTTTGTTGAATAATTAAGGTGTAAATCCAGAGTAAATATGTTTAAGCTAAGTAATTGGATTTTCAGAGGAAATAAGTTGAGTTTGTTACTAAGAACTTATTTTGATTGGTGGAAACTCCAAAGTACACTTTGAAGATAGAAGAGAAGTAAAAGTAATTTTGGTGATTACTTTTTCCCCATTTTCATTGACATATAATTAATGTATAACATTGTTTAAAACCATACTATCAACAAAATCTTCTATTTATCTGGGTATCATTTTAGTTTCTCCTACATCATCTTTATACTTCCTTAAAGGGTGTTTCATGCATACTATCTTCCAATTGCATCTATCTATGTTTTCCTTTACCCTATCTCATACCATTTGTCATAAAATTAGCTAAGCAACCAGCAGACAAAAAAATGAAATATTTTGCAAATTGTTTTCTATTATCTGAGGTCAATGTGCCCCTTTTGTTCTTTATGTCTGTGAGCTCCCCTTGGGATTTATGGAAAATTATTTTTTTTTCCTTACAACATCTCTACTCAACTAGACCAGAGGTTCATGAAGTATGTGGCCCCTGGGCAACAATATCAGCATCACTTGGAAATTTGCTAGAAATGCAGATTTGGGGGCCTTCATTCCAAACATGCTGAATCAGAAGTTCAGGAATGAGGCCAAATGAGATGTTTTAACTATGCATGCTAGGATTTGAGGGCTGCTGCTTTACCATATCCTGATGCTCAACTAACTGAGCCACCCAGATGTCCTGCTTCACTTCTATTTTTAAAGTCTACTTTGGAGATTTCAGCAATCAAAATAAGTTCTCAACAGCAACCTCAAATTTTTTTTGGAGACACAGTTATTTATCTTAAAGTTGTTTATTCTGAATTGTACTTTATTCAACAAAATAGAACATAATATATTCCTACCTCACAATTCTAATATACATGTAAGGTAGTATTTATGGGACCAAATGCATCAGACACTAAATGCTCCAGGAATTCTGAGGAAATCATGGTGGTTTGGATATAGAATGTGGGAAATTAAAAGATTATCCCTTGGAATAGCAATGCCATATAAAAGAGAGAAGAGAGTAGAATTCCCCAGAATCAGAGATATAGTGTGAACAAAGAAGACCTTGGCAGCCTGAAGATTGTGTAGGTAGAATGCTTTACAGCAAAGGTGTACAGACATGATATGGACTAGGCATCTGCAGGGTTGCAGGACATAAACCAAGTGGTTCAGCCTTTAGATGTCTACACTGACAGTCAGTGGCACTCAGGGTTTAAAAAGAATGGCATTTAACATTGGTATTTTTGAGAATCTAACTGTTATTTATGTTTGGTGACTTTTGAAAGAAAGGTGGGTTTTGTTTTATTTTGTTTTTGTTTTTGAGAAAGAATAAAAAAATGAGTATATCATTTTAAATGGTATACCTATGAGTTATTTAATGAAGGTCCAGATTAAATATCCCCCCAATAACTATGAGATGGAAAGAGAAAATGCAAAATAATTTAGGATAAAGAAGATATGTGGAAGGTTTGGATGCCTCATTGAATAATAAAAGTGAAATCAAGGTTCAGATAAAATTCTAGATACAGTTTTATTCAATTGGGCTCCAAAAGCAACCAGAAGATAGAAAGATAGAATGTACCAGTCTGTGTGAAACTGATATCTGCTTGCTTTTTTATTCCCCCCCCCACGCACTGCAACACTGTTGCTGTGTTCTGAACTCTAGTGCTACAGCCAACTGTTCTGGTAACTAAAGACTTAGAAGAAAATGTTTACAAATGAGGGTTTTTTTTCCTTTTGTTTTTTGTTTTGTTTTGTTTTGTTTTGCCTCAGAGAGCATGAACAAGGTGTTTTGTGTTTTGACATAAAAAGGTTATGTATATCTGAGTTAATTACAAAAGAAAATTAAAAAAGCTATCACTGGCATTAAGAAACTCCCTGCATTATCATTGCATTATTAGAAGTTTTGTAGCAGGAAAAAAGCCATCTTTTTTTCCTTTGAAATATCAGCACACTTCTAACAGCCTAATTCACCCTGGCCTCCATACCTGGGCCAATAATGGAGCTTCACTTCCTTGGACCTACCAGTGATAGGAAATCCCCAAGCTGTAAATGTTGAAAGAAATGTTAAGCATTTAACTATCTTTGATAAAGTCAGGGTATTAGAATTTATTATTTTAATGATTTGTAAGCTAAAGCAGACATTCATAGAAATAAAATTAAAGTATCTTACATTTTAAGAAGACTCAAACATTTCTAGGCTCATAATTTTAATGTTAACTGTTTACCTTTGGTTTTAAATAGCTGAAAGGTCAGATCCATATACCCTCTGAAGGAGGGTTTATTAACCATCATCCTTTTCCACTCTGATCCTTCTAAGTATCAGATAGGTGTGTGTTTTGTTTTCTTTTGTTTTGTTTGTTTTGTTTTGTGAGGAGTCTGCTTTCTTTTGTTTTGAATACAGGAATCTAAGAAAGCATGCCTTTT